TCAAGACATTACAATCCAGAAGGGCATTGGCAAAAGTCTTTCCAGGAACCCATCATCGTTTTTCATTGTGGCAAATTAAGGTAAAAGAACAAGAGAATGTGGGTTTGATGGGTAATAAATTTGCATATGATTATGAGAGGTGCATTTACCAAAGTCAGACAGTTGAGGAATTTGACACCACATGGAATGCGCTAATCAACAAATATGGACTAGAGGGCAATGCTTGGCTGAAGGAAATGTATGAGAAGCGTGCATCTTGGGTTCCATTGTATTTGAAGGGGACCTTTTTTGCAGGCATTCATATGAATGAAAGTGTTGATTCATTCTTTGGTACACTTTTAAATGGCCAAACGCCCCTGATGGAGTTCATTTCACGGTATGAAAGAGGTCTTGAGCGACGCCGTGAGGAAGAAAGAAAAGAGGATTTCAATACCTCTAATTTCCAACCATTTTTGCAAACAAAGGAACCAGTAGAAGATCAATGTAGAAGGGTTTATACTCTTACCATATTCAAAATATTTCAAAGGAGCTTCTGCAATCGTACAGTTATCTAGGGTTTAAAATTTTTGAAGAGGGGGTCCTCAGCAGATATTTGGTGCGTAAGTGTGGGAATGATCCTGAGAAGCATGTGGTTACCTTTAGTGCATCCAGTATCAGTGTAAGCTGTAGCTGTCAGATGTTTGAACATGAAGGCATTCTTTGCAGACATGTTCTAAGGGTTTTCCAAATTTTGGAATTAAGGGAAGTTCCATCTCGTTACATCTTGCACCGCTGGACTAGAAATGCCGAGAATGGTGTTTTTCCTGATGCAGAATCATGGAGCAGCGCTCAGGAACTCAGGAATTTAATGCTATGGAGTCTAAGAGAAACTGCATGTAAATATATAGATGCTGGTGCAACTTCTCTTGACAAGTACAAACTTGCCTACGAGATTTTGCAAGAAGGGGGGAGGAAGCTATGTTGGCATCGGTGAGTACTTCTATTTTGGACGTAGTTGTATAATGAAGGTTTGTAGGTTGTCTGTTAACTTCGTTGTGCACCTTGCAGTCTTATTTCATGAATCATACTGAGTAATGCATGATTCGGGTTGCTGGTTTCCTCAACTGTTGGATCTTTTACTGGATATTTTGCTATGTAGATCGAGTGGGTCGTGCCTGTTCTTTGAGTTGGCCTTTATTCCTTAAGGATGAGAATGAGATCATTGAGTGGGCCTTTTTTGCCCCAAAAAAAAATCCAGATTTGATGGTCTTTTAAAAACTCAGCTTCCTCCTGAAAATCGAAGTTCCTATACGCAAAGGAGTCCCTAGCCCTGCCCAGATAACTTGTAGTGATCAAAATCGTGTACTTCTCTTTTTCATTGAGAAAAAAGTGGTTAGCGGGCCACCCGCTTTCTTTCTTTCTTTCTTTTTTAATATTTTTTTTTCACCATTAGAATCGAAAAGAGAAATAGGCGATAAGACTGCATATGCGACACATCATGGTTCCTCTAGAGGAGTTTAGACATGAAAAACAAAATTGCTTATATATATAATTAAAAAAAAATGCTTTTCAAGTCTTATTCTTAGAGTCTGTTTGGATAACATCCAAAACCATGATTTGGGTAAAAAAATTGTCAAACAAGGGGTAAAATTAACAAACCATGGTTTGGGGCCAAAATCATGGTTTTGGATTCAAAACCATAGTTTCAGAAAAATGAATTCATTCTGCTTTTGGTTCAAATTAGAGAGTATGATTATGCTTGAAATCTTAACGATAATATGACTTTAATACCCTTCAATTATTTTTTATAAACATATTTAATCTTATCTTTTATAAATATATATACAAATATTAATTATTTATTAATCATATTATCTTATATGTCATTAATTATGTTGGTAAAAAATATATTATTAACAATTTTAATCCTTCAAATTAAATATATTATAAAATTCATCTTTTATGTAATTATCATATTAATTTATGTCTTTTTTAGTAATTAGCATATATAAAAAGTGCTTCTAATAACGGCTATCTAAACACTCTAACTTTATCAGAGTTATTTTTTTACAAAACTATTCTTCTAAGAATCTATTCTCTAAAAGTTATTTTCAAATAATGATTTGGTTTTATCCAAACACCTTTTTAGAAGATAATTTAATTTAGTGATTTTTCTTCTAAAAAAGCAAATCCTGAAGCTTTGGGTATGCCGGGAGGCAGGCGCAATGGCATGTGTTACCCGGCGAAACGAAAGAGATCCTTGTCATTACCAAGTAATTCATATCTGGTAGGTCTGTTCATGATGCAGACCTACCATTGATGCAGACCTTGAAGCCAATGAAAATCCCCACTTCATAATCTGTTTGAATTGTGTGGCAAAGGATGATGATACATGTCAGGGTTGGATAAGAGAACTCCAATTCAAATTTCACATTTTTAATGATTTAGATTGCGAGTTTTGATTTTTCCACTGCATTGGTTTAAAACATTATTCTCAGCCAAATGTGTGGTTATTTTTAAAAAAAAAAACCGTCTGTTTATATTAGAAAGGGATGCAGATTTTGAATGAAGAGAGAATCAATGAGTAAAAAATATTTGAAGGGAAAAAATCCCAGAGTTTTCCCTTCGAGCATTCCCTCTTTTTTTCCTCCTTCTCCTGATTTTCTTCCCTATCCAAACCAAGCTTAAATGATGGAGAGTTAACCTTTGCTTGACATTAGAAATGAAAAATTATAATTCTGAGACAAAAATTTAGTTGTAAAACTTTTCAATGGTGAAAAAATAGGGTATACTTAGATGCAGTCTCATATTTTGAAAAAAATAAATAAATGAAATGGAATAAATGAATGGATTTGTGATTATAACCAGACAAGTATGTGATTTGGTTGGAAGCCATACATTTGTCCACAAAATTATGCATTACTAGTGATACGAAAGACGTATAACCAATTGAAATGAAAATAAAATTAGCGATAAAAAAGAAAAGATATGTGTCCCTTTTAGAATTTTTTTCCCTTTTTTAAAAAATCAGATATTTTTAGATGGAAAATTTGAATTAATACAAGGCCCTTCACGGCAAATTCTACTGGAGATGTGAAAGTGGCTATATTTTTTGTTATGACCGTTGTGTCTTTTCATCAAATTTAGTTCGTGGGTTAGGTTCTATTCCTGAGGAAAGTCTTGATTCTTCTCTGACTCTGAGGAACGTATATAAATCAAAGATGAGACATTAGCCATGCCTTTTTTACTCTTACCGCTAAAACAGTGAACTCCTTTGCAGAGTGGAAGGATCTTTTCTTGAAATAACGGTCAACAGTCGGCTCCTATTTATAATAAGTTGTCAATGCTTATCTATGTAATTAATGAAAAAACGATTCTCCCATACCCTTTCATTATATGCCATTATTTACACTGCCTTTTGCCCATAATTTTTACATATGTCAATGATCTACTCTATATGAGCAAGATAGGCCTAACTCAGTAATTTATCAGAGACAGCCTTCTCTGTCACATGTAAGTCAGAAAAAGGCAGGACTTGAACATTGAAGCCATTAGCATGACTATTTAATGGAGATACAAGACTCTCAATGTATACCTCAGCATCAAACCAACCCTTCCCATTCTCAATCCTGGGATACTTAAAAGACTTGTCTCTTGTGTCATAGAGGACCAAGTCAAACTCAAACATTAACAGAATTTGACCATTCTCGGAAACGCAAAATGGCTGTGAGTAGGAAAAGTCTTCGGGGTTAGGCAAATAAGGGATGGTCACCAATCTCACCCAAGACTCTCTTACTCCATGGTCCTTCATTATCCACACAACAAAATGGGTCTTCTTGTAATCATAGCTCATAGATAGGCAGCCTCCTAAAACACCCAAGCTAGGCCTGGAACTGACTTCTTTTTCATATGCAGGTGGCAGAACTTGCCTGTATGTTTCCTTCTGCAGATCAAAAGACACAATAACCCACAGAGGGTCTGGAGTTGAATTTACAGACCGAGAACCAAAGGAGCAACGGGCTGGCCAATTAAGAGTTCCGCTCACAAATTTCCCGAAATCATGATAGGGTGTGAACCCATTAGGGAAATCTTGAATCTTTCTCCAAGAATTGGTGGCTAGACTGTAAACCTTCGCGCTTGTTTTACTGATATGATGTTGTTCTCCAGGGTCACAAAACACAGCCACCACTTTATAATCGTCAGATATGTGATCATATCCGAGACCAAATGCAGTATAACACCCGGGTCTCCAATTATTATCCAAAGATGGAGACTTTTTGGACACTCTGATTGATGGGTTCCAAAGAAGAACACGCTCTGCTTTTATGGCAAAACAGAGCAACCCATTACAAGAGCCTACGATCCCATCATGGCGAAACTTGTTCTTCACTGGGTAATTGAGTTCTTCAGAAATGATTGAAGGTTCATCGATCAATGAGCACACAGCGCAAGATTTGAGGTTGAACTCTGCAGTTGTGGAACTTAACATGATCCTTTGGTGGTTGAGACTGGTATCCTGAGTTGAACTCAAAAGGTGTTTTCTGATGAAATAAGGATCAGAAATTAAGGATTTCCATGACTTACATACGCACCTGAGTTGCAAAAGAGACGTCACGGGAAGCCTCGAGAGGATTTCTTCGATGAGCTCATTGGGAATGAAAGGTAATTGATCAAGAAATGGTTTAGAAACAGAGGAAACTTGACTCTGACTCTGACTCTGCTTTTGTGATTGTACAATCGAGGAACTTGAAACAGACAAGGTAGTTGGGTCTCGGTAATTGATTGGTTGCTCTCTCTTAAGGGACGTATTAGGAGTGGCGGTGCCGTGGGGACGGCCGTGGTAATCAGTGCCACCTTCCAACGACATATAAGAGAGAGTGGGAGAGAGGAAGAGGAAGTTCTGGTTCCTCCGTTTCTTCAAATTTTGCGGAGTGGGAAGTGCGAGAGGCTCAGAGCTTGTGAGCTTCATCTTATGAAGATTAATAGATTACTACGATTGCCTGCCATTCATGTCACGATAGCATTTTATTACGTCATTTTTTCTGTTTTAGTTTCCGCTTCGGATAATACATGGGATCTTGGTTCTAGCACAAAATGACTCACTTGATCTTCTCTATTTAAATAAGGCATCAAGATATACATTCATTCAAGGAAATACTATAAGTTCTGTAAAATATCTTAATCTTTAAATCTCTCCGATTTTTTAATATGAAAAAAAAAAGCTCATCAGTTTGTACTTAAAATAATAATTTTTTATTTGATCTCATGATACGGGACTCACGTATGCATTATAAACTCACTAGACAACGCATTACATAAAGTCTCTTGTTGAAGTGCATTATGACAAAAAAAAGTCTGTTAATAGTTGACGTTAAGGAAACATTGCAAGTGATTGATGTTACTAAAGCAACCATTTGGGGATTATGACGGCAAGAAGCTGTTGTGTAAAGGGGCTGTAATGTTCTCAGCAAACCAAGGACTGAACTGAAATATGCATAACTTCGTTCCTTTGTGGGACATCCAAAGGTTGCTTGCTGATGAAGGATCCATTTGTTCACATTCAGCTCAGGGCGGTGGCTGGCGGCTGCGTTGTTGAATATTCCTCTTTTAGAACATCAAATTATTTTTCGGTTTCATTTAATTTCAAAAATATAAATGACTTTGCAGCAAGTAAGAATAATGCGATAGATTGGTCTTTGTTCAGCTAAATCTGTCATGGAGGATGGATTTGTAGCATTTATTTATTTGTTTGTTTGTTTTTATTTTATTTTATTTAAGTGTGTGAATCTTCATGCGGCAGGTGATGAAGATCCCTCATCAGCAAGTTGTGCTTGCCACCATATCTTTCCGCTTCCTCATATTTTATCCCCCCCCCCCCTCCTGTTGAGATGACATTGACAAGTGGTGCATTCTGTATAAGCCATTCAAAAGTTGCAAGGAAACTAAACACTAAACCAGCTATTAGTTCAATCATCACAGTAAGATTTGGTGCTGCAATTCTCATTGGGGCATAAAATGACAGTATCCTGTGATTTTTGTTTTTCTGGGATATTACTCAAATTAACCCACAGCTCCCACTCTTAAAAAGCTTATATATCTAACGACTAATAAAATCATCCCTTGTACCCAAGTTTTGAGTAAAAGTTGCACATGGGATTATTCCACTGTCCAAAACTTTCGGAAGTTAATTTTAACGTTTCTTTCAACGTCATATTTTTGCTGGTTAACACATAACATTGGCCAATGAACCCAGCCAATGGAGGGGAATCAATTCTTCATCTTATTATTACAAGTTACATCAGTTCACCAGGTTTACTGGCATCTTGAAACACAAATACCAAAACCATAAAAAGCAAAAAATTGGGAACACTTGCACCCTTTTTCATCCGTCAGCTCTTCCTCCTGAACCATAGTCCCATCCCTTTCTACTTTTAACAACAATCAAAGAACTGAATGACAGCAAATTACGCTAATGAAGTGCCATACCTAGTATTACCTACCATATAATCATCTTCGGCCCTCGATTTTACTCCTGCCATACATGCCAAATGTATATTTAGAACAAGCATTAGCAGCATAAAGCGGCGCGTCAAAACATTTGTACATCAGTCAGCACAGTCTTTTAAGGGATTGGGTTGGTACAGCAACTATTATTGCAGGACAGCACCTGATAACAATACAAGGCGGCGCATTACTGTGAACTATAAATTGAACCTAAACATGTGAGAGCCGCGATCAACTTTAGCACCGATTCCATGGAGAATATCTTCTCACAATTGAGATGAAACATTAAATTTCTCTCGCTACAGATCCATCAAAGATGATCCATGAACTCAACAATATTCAGCTCAGAGAATCCTTCAAGAAGCTCATGCACCAGGTAACTTGGCCTTGCATCTAAATCCGATCTTTACAAGCAAGGCGAGATCAGACTCTCAACATAGATCTGTGCCTCAATCCAACCTCTATTGTTGAATCTCAGGACTTACAAATGAGGAAGATCTAGGGTTATACCAATTTAAGAGCCACCTGTCCTGCAACAGTATTTCACTACTCTCCGAAATACAGCGATCCTTCGGACATAGAAGGACAGGATTTTCCGGGACGGAATGTTGAACAGTTTAGTCCAAGACTCTTTAACACCAAAATCCTTCATGATCCACACATCTGAGCGCGTGCCATAGTTATAAAGGATGGCCAAGCAGTCTCCCAATACTCCCAAGGTCAATGTAAGCATACCGTCTCCATGATCAGGCTGTGGAAGTTCTACATATGACTCCTTCTCTAAATCAAGAGAAATAACAACCAGAGAAGAACGTGAACGACTATCTGCCACCCAATTAAGTGTTCCGCTCACAAATTTTCCCATTTCATCATACGGGATACCTAAAGGGAACTCCTGAATCATCCTCCAAGAATCATCACCCAATGTATAAACGCTGACTTCTGTTTTATAATCACCTCTACCATCACTATTATAGCAGAAAATTGCGACCACCTTGTATTTATCAATAGATTGATCACAACCAAACCCATATATTATATAACTCCCGTCCCGTTTTTGATAATCTAAACAAGGAGATTTCTTGCATTTTCTAATAGACGGGTTCCAGACAAGGACATGGCTGGGTCGAATAGCGAAACAAAGCAAGCCGTTGCAAGAACCCACAATGAAATCATATGGATTTTGTCTCTTCAAAGGGTATTTCAGTTTCACGGCGTTCGTGCGTTTGCGCTCGCGTGTGGATGAAACAGGGCAAGATGTAACAGTACGACTAGGTCCCGGGACGCAGAACACGATGTTATGGTGAGTGAACTTACGGTCCGTAATTGAAACACGGAGGTGCAGTTTAGCAAATCGGGGATCGGAGATCAAGGAATTCCAAGACTTGCATACACACCTGAGTTGCAGGAGCAACTTGACAGGGAGCCTGGAGAGAATATTCTCGATGAGCTCGGGAGGAAGGATCGGCGACGGTGGAGAAGCTCTATCGCCATGATTAGCCATGTGGTGGTGGCGAGAGAGAGGAAGGAGAAGTGAGGGATGAGGATGAACGAGGAGAAAGTCGATGCTTCTTGGGAATGGAAGAGCCTTCTGGTTCAGGGAATCCCTGAGAAAAAGGTGAGACGATGTTAGCGAACTCACAATTGGTGGTGGTACCTGTACCTGACGCCATTATTGGGGAGCTAGGGCTTTCCTGCGTTACTTTCATCAGCTTCTGCCTTCTGGGCTCTGAGTTCTGACAGGTTACTCCTCCACGCAATCTTAAAATAATGAGATTCCTCATGCGCTGCGTTTTTCCTCATTCAAACCTGTATCACATTTAAAAGGGTGTTTGGGTAATTTCAGAAACACTACTTAGAAATATTTTTCTACTAATCAAGATAAATTTCTCTACATATTTGTTAAAAATACTTTTAAAACTATGATTTTGTTTCTATCCAAACACAAGAGAGTATTTGGATAAGTGGTTCTGAAAAGTATTTTTTTCACAAATTCAGATAAATTTTTATATATATATTTATTTTGTATATTGTAAAATCACTTCTGAAACTATGGTTTAGTTTATATCCAAACACCTCCTTAATCCCACCTGTTATTCTCAGTACATAGTTATGGGAGAATTATAACAAAATCAAAAAAAAAAATATAAAATAAATTTTAGAAGTTGTAATTTTCTACTCTAAAATTTATTATTACTACCTGTTTCAATTATTATTAAAAAAATTTAGTAATTATTTTTTCTCCTTCCAATCTCGCTAATTCTCCTTAGCTATATTGTATAAGTAGGTTTTATTTTTATTCCGCCAAACTATCCTTGCCAAGCCACGAATATTAAGTATTAGGTTGTCTATATTACTCCCTTCCATTTTTAATACAAAATTAGTTAATTAATTTAAATATATCAAAAAAATTAGTTAAGTTAATTATTTATAATAAATATGTATTTTATTTCTTAAAATACTATAGAGACTATCTTAAAAAATAAAAATATGAGAGACAAAGTAAATTGAAATTTTATATTTACGATCAAATTAAAAGTCCAACTAACTCTTATTAAAGAACGTGGGGCTAGTAACTTATTTTTTCTTCCTCTCTTCTTTGTAAATCAATTTATTACTTTTTAAGCCAACATAAAATGATAATTTTTACAAAAAGCAAATGCCTTATAAATTACTTTTTTAATTATTATTATTACACGTTAGATTATTTTATTTAATTGTGGAATATAATTATGTTAAGTTGATATAATATACTCCTACAGTTATAAATATAAGACCTATTTTATAGTGTAATTTATATTACAAAATAAGTCTTATATTAAAAATTGAAGAAGTATAATGAGGTGCAACCTCCACGTAACAAAATATGCTTATATAGCGTTGAGTTGAATTGATCAGATCATAATTCCTTGTTCATAGTAAAAATAAAAAATAAACAATAAGTGGAGATGAGCTTGCAGAAGATTTTTGTGATTTTGCAGTAGAAGGCATGGACATCAGGATGTCAATTTTTTGTGAAGTTACTGTCATAATTCATAAATGCACTCACCACATCCCATTAACAGCTGATCATCCATACTCCACAGGTTGCATTTTACCATTTACTTCTCTGGTACTGTTTATAAATGGGAGAGAGAATAATATTTTATTTTATTTATAAGTGACCTCATAATAAAAATAATAAAATTTAATTTTGCAAGATTAAATTTTTTTGCTTTGTAAAGTTACCGTCATAAATGTATTGTTTAGTTCCATTAGCAGATATGAATGCAAAATTTTAACCTACTCGCTCCGTCTCTTATTATAAACAATACAAAACTCTATTACATAAATCAAAAAATTAGTTAAAGATAATAAATAAGTAAAAATTATAAGGTTTTTTTTTTCAAAATATCCTTATTTATCATGTGAGAGTATAAGAAAGAGAATAAGAAAATTATTATAATAAAAAAAATTATGAGAGAGAGAATGTGTGATAAAGAGAGGCCATGGTTTGACAATTGAAATAAATAAATATATTGAATATTAAAATAAATATTTAATGGGAGCAAAATAAAAAATTTTGCAACAAAAATTTAAGACAACTTGTAAATGTTGGATATATTTATAAATAAGAAAGGACGGTAGTTGTTTCTTATAAAAAGAAACGAGGGAGTATATAATAATGCAGTGATTAATTCCCATAGCCATGCCAAGAAACAAGAAAAAGCGCTTCTGTATCAATAATTAATTAATTGCATTAGAGAAATCGAGATTTTAGATAAATCAATATGTGATCGGTATATAATATGATAATGTCATCCCCAAATAAAGTAAAAATAAAAACAAAACTTTTCTTCCAATATAATATAGTACAGTTGTGCATATTGCAATAAGCCAATAACACTTTCAAGCAGCATAGAGTCTCCGTGAACTTCCAAATTGAGTCGCCCAAGAGCAAAGGTGAATTAAGCTATAAATATTTCTTGACTTTAAAATACTGAAATAATACAAACAACAAATAGAAATGGAGCATAGTGACATCACCATGAGTGAGCAAAAGAGATAAGAGATGAATCACCCTGAGCAATCTTGCTGGTTTCATGTCAATCAGCACACAACCAAAATCCGGTTGCTAGATCGTTATGGGAATTTCACCACACTTTTTTTTTTTTGGGGTGAAAAATTTCACTACACTTCTTTAATATTAGATCAAGTTCTTGGTGCCACCCAACAATATTTCCAATTTTCACATGGAAGTTCCCTTTATCCAGCACAATACAATGACTTACTCAAGATTCTCTTAGTCCCAAGTCTGCTCAAGAGTTAAGATAGTAGTTTAGAGTGTCTATGATAGAGCAATATTGTCTTAGAGTGAAATTAACTGATAGAGAACTTATCATCAGAGTAATTGAATGAAGCTAGTCTGTAGTAGAAAATCACTTATTAGTGGTTGGACATAAGAAAATGGCCATTACTCAAAAGAAAAGAATTGGTTCGCTAATCATGGTAAGTACGTCTCATAATCATAAATTCGCAGCTTGTTGGCAGATGCTCAATATTATGAGATAAGTAATGAAAAGAATTTAAAAATTAAGAATAAAAATAAAAGTCAAGGTACATTGATATCAGGAACGATAGAGAAGTATGTTCGTGAACAACTCATATCAGAAGACACAAATTTACTGCTAGGAACGAAACAAATTTTCGACGCGTTCAAGGACATTGAAGCAATTGTTGACAAAAGCAAAGATTTCTCAACAAATGTCAGCTAACTGCACATAAACACCTGAATTTGTTGCCCGTCAATTACTCCGTGAAATGAATGTGCATCAAAGCAAGGTGATTGTTGATGTAAATTAGGAAATGTTAACAACTTGGCAAGGAAGGCGCTTATTGACAAACTCAACCTTTAGATACATCAAGAACAGGACATTGACAAAAACACAGAAGCACAAATTGGGACATCATATATATATATATATATAATATATATATATATATATATTGACTAAAACATATCTTTTCAGTATTAGAAGTAATTTTCTTTGACATGCTGTCGGACACTAGATATGACGCCCAAAAATATCCCGAAAGTATCTGAAATAAGATTAAACATCATATTTGATTAAATTATGACCGCTTAGCTCTCTGAAATCATTTTTACAGGAACCTTTTAGACTTAGATCCGTCATTAATCTCTCGACTACTGGCAATAGAAAGTTCTGGACAATAACATACTCTTGAAACTCTTCGATCTTTTGTAGATTCACTTGACTCTTTTGCTTCATTCTTTTGATGCAAAACAATCTTCTCTACATCAAAACATAAGAATCCAATACATATTTACCTAAACTTGCGTAAAGCATAAAAAAAGAGTTTGTTTACAATGTTATGCTACAGGGGAAAAAATTATGCCCTTGGTAAGGGTTTGCAATATAACGCAATCATTGGATTAAAGCATTAATAATACTGAACAGAAAATTTTGTCATGATTTGACAGCCTCATCATCATCTTCAATATCCCAACTAAGGTCCTCCTCTTGTTCATCTGAACTCAACCTCTTTCGCAAATCAATTCTACTAGTGGTTCCGAATGCATCTGCTTTGTTCTCGTCATTGCTTCCCATATCTTCAATCTCATCCCAGCCGAGGTCTTCTTCCTCAGGCATCGATGGCTGGCTTGAAACAACTGAAATATCACTATCTTTGCAAGATTCACTGTTATCTGTTTTAACTTCTGATGCTGCTTGGTCTTGATATTTAGCTTCTAACTTATCCCCACTTCCACTGGCACTTCCAGGAGCATTTGATGCCACATGTTCAGGATCCTTAACCTCCGACTTATACCCGCCATCAGTTCCAGATTCAGACGCAAAACCGTTCGCATCATTTTCTATCTCCGAATCTACCTTCTTAGTCTCAACACTCTCAAAAGCACCACCACCACCAGCAACTTCAGTGGAATCTTCCTCCTTTGCCAACGTCACCGCACTGGAATCACCTTTTGCTTCATACCCATCATCATCATCGTCAAAATCCCAACTCAGATCCTCCTCTTCATCCCCAGAGATCGCACGCTTAACAAGCTTAGCTCTGGCATCCTCCGCCTGCTTCAGTTTATGCATCCTATAGAAATACCTGCTCCAGAAGCTTTCATGGTCGATCCTAATGGGGACAACCTCGCCATATATCTCCTCAATCACCCCATTCTCCGCAAACAAGTCCTGAATCTCCTGCCCCTTCTTATCCAACTCAAACCCTGCTTTCCACTCATTGTAATTTTCCACATCTTCGGGTTCCTCCACATATGTGTTAACATCATTCTGAAGAGCACGCACGAGCGCATCGAACCTGCTGTACGGCTTGACATCTGAACTCTGATTACTGCTAGTACTCAATCGCTGCTTACCAAAAACGTTCCTACCATTATCGTTGTAATCAGAAGGAACGAAATCAGAATCATCGGCTAAAAGAGAATCCCTACCCCGAGAGATAATCTTGGTCGTCGATTTCCATACCGAGCTGCCGATATCGTCTATGGCTTGGCCCACCGACTCAAGCGACTCCTGAGCAACCGACGCGCCAACATCAAGCGAAGCAGGGAGATCCTTGACGGCGCGTGAAGCAGCTTCTCGAATAATCGCCGTCTCTTTCCTCAATCCAGAACTGAATTCCTCAAGATCGCGGCGGTAGGTGCCGATAACTGACTCGGATTTGGAAGCAAGGGTCTGAAAGAGACCTCCAAAGTTCCAGGCGTTGTTAGGGTCGGAACTCTGAACCGGAGCGGGACTCGGATCGGGTTCATCAGGGTCATGTTCTCTGGATCCATGAGAAACCGGGGGTGGCGGCGGCGGATCGTCGGAGAACACGGCCTTGAAGAAATCCATTGAGTATGAGAGGCGAGGTTGCGCAGCCGATGGCGTTTGCTTATGATTTATGATATGATGCGTTACTCCATTGAAGAGGCGGACTTATCAGTTTATGCGCTTCGTCGGTGATTAATTCAGTTAAATTTGACGCAAGTTTTTCTCTTTCTGTTTTATCTTTTTCCCATCAATACTTTTTTTTTTTTGGGGCCAAATTTTCTCGTCAACAACAATCAATCATTTTCAATATACACACAGCAATTTGTGTTAGAGATTCATGAATCTAAAGTTCTAAACAAGGTGTCCTGTTTTATAATAATACGTTAATAATCAATAATAATAAGATGTATTAATTTTATATTATTTTTTTTTGCCAAAATTGTATATCATACATTAATATTATAAAAATTAGTACCATTTATAAGTCACATTTTATGGAACTCATTTCCACGTTTAGTTTATCACAAGTACAAATTACGAATGGAAACCATTGTATGAGAACATATCTTTGGATTATGGATTTTATTATATTACATTTTATTTCTTATTTTTATTTAAATTTCAAATATAACTTTTACTGTTAATTTGTCTTGGTTTATTACTCCTCCGGTCCTTAATATAGGACCCAATTCTTGAGTTGGTTTTGGTCCTAAATATAAGACCCATTTATCATATTTATCAATTTTCTCTAAATTACCCCTATGGATACTCTCTCAACCATAATCAAGTAGAAAAGGGAGAGGGGTATTAAGAAAGATGATTATGGTGTTTTAGGAAAAATGTGTCACTTTTCTTATAATCAACCAGCTTACCTAACTTCCTTAATCTAATCAAATTAATTAAATAAGTCTTATATTAAAGACCGGAGGAGTATAATCTATTAAAGAATATACAAGAATTAACCTATTCTTATTATATCAGTATAAGAAAGTCCGGTTAAATTGGCATTCGCACACAACGTTTTGAAGTTTAAACAACTCATCTGTCTGTTTATATTTACTAAACAATCCATAAATATTCGTGATCTTACGGGAAAATCAGTGGTTATGATGCTATTGGTTTTGACAGTGAGAAATGTCAACAATGGCGCTAGTTGCAGTGGCGAATAGAACCAACAACTGAGAGTTTTCTCCGCCCTCATAATGGCTAAATGGATATTAAAGTGAAATGATTAAAAGAATTGCCTCAATAAATATTTTCAACAAAACACAAACTGAACCTAGCGATTGGTTTGGGACTCTGGATTAAAAGAATGCGTTGTTAACAACTTGAATTAGTTAGAAAACCATAGACAATATTACCTAAGTATACATATTATTTCTAGTCTACTGTTATGGGGGCAGAAGACTTGGCCTTGCCGGGCTAAAGACGTTGTTTGGTTGGAGGGTTTTTAGGAGAATAGAAGGAGGGGAGGGGAGGGGATGCGAATGGAAGAGAGAGGAGGAAATTTTTTTTGTCATTTAGGGTATGTTTGGCTCAATGAGAGGAAGGGAAGGGGAGGGATTTTAATGGAGGAAAGGAGAAGGGAGTGGAAGGATTTTAATATTATCTTGTTTGGATTTATAAAAAAAGAGGAGAGGGGAGGGAAAGATATTTTAATATGGACAATTTTGCTCTTATTTTATTTAAGACGTGGACATAATGGTCACAACATGACAAAATATAGACATAATAGTCACAATATGACAAAATATGGGCATAATGGTCATAATATGACAAAATATTACCCTTTCCCTTCAAATCCTCTCAATTTTGGAGGGGAGGGGAGGGGAAATTTTAAAATTTTTTCCCTCCTCTCCTAAAATTTGTGTGTTGCCAAACAAGGGGAAATGATTAAAATCCCTCCCCTCCCTCTCAAATCCCTCATACCAAACACACCCTTAGTGCTCTCCTTCCCTCTTTTTGCTCCCTTCCAAAATTGGAATTTTTTAGAAGGAAGAAAAATATTATACCTCATCTTGACTAAATTATCTATGTCAATTTTATAATATTTCAAGTTTATATTTTTCAGTAAAAACCTATTTTTTAACTCTTTGATTTTTTTTATTTTTTTTCTTTTCAACCCCTACTATTCTTCTACAGATTTTTTTTTTCCTCCTCAGATGTTCTTTTTTTTTCTGCACATTTTCTTTTTCTAATTTCATCATTTCCCATGTTCTCTGCCATTAATATTCCATATCTTTTCCTCTTATCTGATCTTTCATCTCAATTTCATTTTTTTTACACAAAACTTTGTATATTATCTAATTAAGTATGCAAGATTGTGTACGTTGTGTAATTAAGTATGAAATAGTTCAAAACTTATAACATAAATTTATTTATAATTTTATTAATTTATATAATATGCTAAAGATTATAATTTTTTTATGGACATTTATTTTGATATATGATTATTTATAATCTATTTGTTATGTCTCAAGATATCTGATTTTTTTATATTTACAAATTAGAAAATAATAATTATGATATAAATATCATAATAAAATAATAAAGAAGTCTAAATAAAGAGTTAAGGATATATTTGTCAACTTATAATTAGCTCCTCTCCCTTCTCTTTCTAAACCAAGTAAGAAATCTCCCCTCCCCTCTCTTTCCATCCAACCAAACAAAACTTATATCCTCCCCTCTCCTCCCCTCCCCTTCCCTTAGGCCTTGTTTGGTTCACTGGAAAGGAGGGGAGGGGAGGTTAATTGAAGGAAGGGAAGGGGAGGGGAAGGGAGGTCATTGTTTTGTTTGGTTGGAGGGGAGGGGAAGGGAGGAGAGATTTCTTGTTTGGTTCATAAGAGGAGGGGAGGGGAGGTAATTATAAATTGACAAATATACCCTTATCTCTATATTTAGACTAATTTATTTTTTTAATACGCACACGATATAATATATAATTATAATACACACATGTTATGATATGTATATATTAATACATATGATATGTATATATTATATAATTATATTATTATATTATTATTATCAAATATTATTAGTGGCTAAAAAGAGAAAGAAGTGAAAAAAAGATTTTTAATAAGATGGACAAACTTGGAATATTAAAAAGTTAATATGGGTAGTTTGGTCAATATTAGACATAATATTTCTCTCCCCTCCAAAAAACCCCAAATTTGGAACGGAGCATGGGGAGGGGAGGAGAGCACTAAAAGACAAATTTCTTCCCTCCCCTCCCCTCTATTTTTCCCAATCAAACACACTTATCTCCTCCCCTCCCCTCAACAACCCTCCAACCAAACAAAGCCTTAATTCACCTCCCCTCTCCTCCCCTTCATTGAACCAAACAAAGCCAAAGGGAGAATTATCAAGTTTCAAAATTGAATCATTTCCATGAAAGTTACCTATTTCAGTTGGGTTCTTTGTCGACTACATAATTATTCTTTCAATACCCCATACCTGGTACTTCATTTGATTCATTGATACATGATATTAGTTCAGTTAAGATATTATACATCAGAACACATAGGAATATACAGGACAAAAAACACTGCAATTTTGCATAAGCAAACAATGCTAGCAGAGGAATTAATTTAACTTGACAGTCTCGATTTCCTGGATGATGAACTCCTTTTCCTCCTCAAATTGCTCATCTTCTGAGCCTGAAATAGTGCAAGAGCCAAGAGATGTGAATCTTGAAACATCAGGTCTCCTACAGCATTAATCGGGAACAAAGAGTGCAAATTGAGAACAATTCATACAAACAAGCGTGTCTCCCATAAATCTACTGCGGAAACTATTATAACCTTTTGCAGGAGACAGATTATGAAGTAACTCCAGCAGCTTCTCTTGGTTCTTTGCAAGGATAATTTTCACATCTCGCGGCTTATTAGGATTAGCAACAAAAACCTGCATAAACAAGTAGTAACAAGAAATTCTTATTGTTTTTGTCTTCCAAGACAAATCAAGGATCTAAAAGATCAGATGGCCAGTACCCAGCACTTAATATTTCAAAATAAGTGCATCAAAAAGCAGTCTTCAGGAACTTTCTGCATGCACCCAAATGGGTGTGAATGTGTTTTATCTGAATTCGTGTATAAATTAATATGACTTTAGAGAAACTACAGATAACCCTATTGGACCGATGAATTCTGTAGCATGCACTCTGCCAGATGTTCCCGCTGCTCACTTTTCCAACAATTTTCACGAGCTAAATCATTTTCCTAAACATGGATGCCCAACAAAAAGTTCGTAAGTGTCACCTAACTAAATATCCATAGGTTTTGCTGAGTCCCATGAAACAAATAAGATGGTCTCAAAGACCCAACCCATGACCATTTGGTTTAGATAGTCCGTTTTGAATTAACAGAACAAAAACACGTGTAAGTCATAAAAGCAATACTTCTTGAGTTATCCAAGGATCCCAAACTTAGCGAGAAATTATTTAGGTTGCAATTACTTAATTTGATTGTCTGAAATATGAGTGAGAATTTTCAATACCACCACAGGAGAACTTATCAAATGATTCTAATAGTAGGACGGTGAAAATTCACCTTGAAAATGTGAAAAGCTGATAGTTGAATGTTTGTACTTGAGTCCTGCTCAATCAAAAGAATCCTTGAGTATACTAGATAACTGATAGAAAGAAAAGGTAAAGGTAGAGCAAAAACATCATTTTTAGCCTGTATAAAACATGAATCAAGTTTATTATAGTCTTAGGATACTTATTATCGCCTTGCAGATTAATATGTTAATTCACATGCCCAGCGGGTAGAGTAACTGACAAACTAGGCGCAGCCATCTCTAGTGGCTGCAATGTGCCAGTTCCTCAGCACTAAGGTTTCATGTAACTAAACTGACAGGTATTGATCCTCTAAAAAAATCTCCATTTTTGGGTAAACATCAGGAAGAAAACCTAAACTTCGGAACCTAACACCTAACAAAATAAACAGAAGAGAAATCATCAAGCAACAGACTCATGTCATGAAGGTAACTCCGCCCGCAGAACTTGTGTACAAGAAGATATCAACAAAATGTCTTCAATAATTGTCGTGTTGGACTACAACAAAAGTAAACATTCCCAATTAACTGGAATTAGGAAAACAAACATGAAAATGACTGTCCTTCTAGTAATATAAATACTTAACAATAGAAAAACTAAACCATGAGATGATATCAACTAACGTAAATTATATATTTCAGTTAGACTCAATAAATATCCAATAACTTAAGACAATAAAATAAGCACACTAATTAAATTTATGGGGCATAACATTGACTAAGCACCAAGAAATCGCGTTTCTTTGTCATATCAAAATGAAAGTAGAACATCACACAAACAGAGATAGGATGAAAAGGAATTATACCCTCAGCAATGTCATCATGACTTTCAAGTGACGAACTTCTTGGATGTAGTGTTTCATTATATGGATATTTGGAGCCTCCAAAAGAAATTCTGATAGAATCTAAAGGCCACGCACATTTAATTTATTAATAATCCTACAGATCAAAAAGCAATATTTATGGAAACTTCTATCCAGAACTAACCTTTAAAGACTGCCGCCTAGTGACATAATTAGAAGATGTCAAAAGTTTGTCATAGAGATCAAAGAACTGTAACATTAAGCCTTATTAGAAAAGCCAGAATAACATGCAAGATTAAAACACCCCAACAATTAAATCTGCACCAAGCACATGTTCAATATATGGTAAGTGAACTTAACTATCTCCTATGTAACAATTTCTCAGGTGGTAAAGTTTTCTCCAAGGGGCTCCTGAATTTATATGCAATCAACGTGCTTGAATATTTTGAACATGTTATTGTATGATCAGATCAGATAAAAAAGACAAGGAAGAAAACCTCATCATAATGAGCTTCCAAAAATTCAGCGACCAATTTTCCATGTTTAGTAAGAAGATCCTGCAAAACATTTCTGAGGAGTATAAAGGAGTGGCAGAAGGAAGTCTAAAATCAGCAACGGAAAAAAAAAGAAAAGGGAGGAAGTATGATTAGATTCTCTTTTTTTTTTTGGGGGGGGGGTTGTGTGGGGTATATAGGAACTCTGACCTTAAAGGTAGAAAATGCATCTGAAGCAACATCAAAATCAGGCAACTCTACGAATTTAAAGAACAACTCAAAGCTTGGAGACTCCAAAATGTATCTGGAAAGACAAAATATTACACACTTGAACAATACAGCTGACTTGCTTTCAGAAAGACTACATGAGAATGCCCAACTTCAAATGCACATTGACTATCATTTGTTAAATTTACAATCTACATAATGACAAACAAGCTGAATACTTGGAGTTTGAGAGATAATCTCTAGGGTTCCGTTGATATGGTCTTTACACTTAACCATATTTGGGGAATCCTTTTAAAGACCCTACATTGAGGAAAACATTTTTTAGCAAAATAAAAAGTGTCATGCTTTCAGTAGTGTAATTTTCTTAATATCAGAACCATTTTATGACTTCTCAAATACTCAAGTCTTTACACCTTAAACTAGTGTAGCAAGTAATAAATTCCCCTCCTTTCTTGATAGTCTTCACTCACTCTTAATATCTTTGTGAACTCCCACTTTGTAAAGGAATAAATTTCATCATCCTCAAGATAGTGGCCAGAAATTAATAGAAGGTTACAATACCCTTAACATAATTCTAGCGAATCGCAGATGTGATGGATATGGACAAACGGGAAGCCATCACAAAGACTGAGTTGACACTCAATACAATAATAAGAACCCAGCCCATTCAGAGAACCACTCTTTATTTTTCTCCTAATAATTTAAAAATATCTCTCATTAGTTGATGAAGATTAAGGTAGAAAGGAGCCCAAGTCCCACACTGATTAGTATGAAATGCTCTATAAGAGACTTAAGTGGGTTGGTTCTCCCAGCATAAAAACTAATTCTTTGGGGAAGTTCCCTCACCTCACTTGGGTATTCATCATTGGTGCAGTTTATCAGGTTGGGTGATAGATAGAAAAGTAGTAAAAGCAGTATCTTACTCCAACTTCCATTAAGATCAATCTCGGCCTACATTGGACCTGAGAGACACGTAATGGGCAGGGAAAAACGATCTGGTAAAAACTTACTTTGCAAGTGTTGGAAATTTGAAGCATTCCCGCAACATTATTCCACAGTTCAAGGCAACTTCTTTATTATCATAGCTGCTAGGAAAAAAACCAGAGACAGTTTGTGAGCCCCCGATAACATGGAAGAACATTCAAAATCATTCTTTAGGAAGTGAAAGGCGTATATTTGGGTAGGCACAAAGGTAAGTGTGAATGAGACTTCTAATTTTGGAAAATGCCGCTTGCGCAAACATTGTTATGAACGAATTCTTCTTGAAAGAGTCAATTAATATCTAAGGATAGTATTTGAGAAGTGTTGTACATGAGATTAGATTTGTCTGATTCCTTCGAGAAAATCACCACAATGATGAACTGAAAATGGGTAAAGCTGCGGAATGTTGTGTCTCTTTCAAAACACCAGGGGAAATCAAGTGAAGTTATTTGTGATAAGAGCAAAATCATATACACCAAGACTAGAAGCGGCTTCTATTGAAAATGTTATGCAATCTAACACTTACCATACAACGAGAAAGTCCAGCAGCTCAAAGTGTTGTTCAATGTATTCTACACAGCAATACTTGGAGTCAACTTTATGTCTCAACAATATAGACCAACAGTAGACTAAATTCTTTCTCGCCTGTATCAGAATTCACAGAACCATGATGAGCAACCAGCTAAACTAACTGCACATTCATGTGCTTGGTAGCAATCTAAATCTTACTTCCCATCCCAGTATAGGCAACTTGTAGATTAGTAAAGCAACAACATCCTCTTTGCATAGTTCCTCCACTAGCTGTGAAACCTGATCCATATTTGGCTCCGACTCCCCATCTCCAGAGAGCATGCATCTCATAGTCACAAAATTCTTCTCAACTTCCTCTAAAGCCTATGAAAAAAAGTTCCCACCAATTATTGCAACTACAGCTCATTAGTCAAAGCAATTTAGCGCTCTAAACATCCTTTCTTACAGTAGGTTCTCGCCGACTAAAAGCAAGCAGAAAAGAGGAGAAGAACTGAGATTTCTCCAACTAGATTCTTTGACGATCAATCTCAGTTAAATGAGTTGCTTGCCTCCTAGACTAAAATAAACAACCCATTTCTCTGAAATATAAAATGTGGAAGTTCCGCTTGAGAATTTTAGTATTGCTGTACAATCAACTAAAAAGGTCACCCAGTTAAAGCATTGAGAATTTGGATCAAAGGGATGCGATTGGAGTGAGTCAGAATCATGCAAGCTCCGATGAAATGAAAAACCGCAGGAAATGTATGAACAGAAAAAAATGGTGAGTGAAGAAGAAGCAAGAGAAGAAAGCAGAAGACAGAAACAGACCTTCTCAAGGGTTTTGACTTCGAAAACAGTTTTGGTATCAAGGGCCATGAGACTGTCCTTGATGGACTTGGCCACCTCCTGTGGCGTTTTAGGCCTCAAAATCTTGAAGAAGGAGAACGACATGGCGATCGGCTCGTCAATGAATTTCCACTGTGCGTCTCCGTATCTGTATATAGGTTTCTTTTCGCTCTGCCTGTAGCTCTGCTTTTCAGGATGTTGAGGTGAATAATGCAGCTGAAGCTGTGCTCCTTGTTTCTGATTCTCATCACTCGTCAGCGTCATGAATGATGTACCTGCCTGAATAATTACGTGTTACTATTAATATTTATATTAATATCTTTCATGGTTTTCGACTTTTCTTTTTTCTTTTTTCTTTTTTATTGCGCTATCAAAATAAAAAGAATATTAAATTTGGAAATTACTCTAAATTTGTTTGACTTATCATCCGAACTAAGGGAGGAGTTAACCAAGCAAAATTGATTTTGATTTTCTGAAGGGTGTGTTTTAGGCGTTTTAGCGCACATGATGCGGAGAGACATTCATTTTCTGTTTAGCTCGTAGGAAATGGGAAGAGAAACAAGTAGCTGAAAGATTTTAGTAGTTGGCAAAAAATTCAAAAAAAAAAAAGGAAGAAGATTTTAGTAGATTTAATTTTTAAAAATAATTGTTAAAAACATTTTCACTGTGGTCCAGCATCTTTTTTTTTTTTAATTGCCTGTCCATATTTTATCAATTTCTCCCTGATTTCGACTACATAAAAATAAATGAAAAGTAAAATAAATAAATAAATAAAAGAAAGTGGTTCTACAACTTTTTTGGCCTTCAAACTCACAATTTAATGTTTGAAAAAGCCTTCAGAAATGTATTTGATATGAGTTGGGCTGTAGATCTAAATGTGGTTCTGCATTTCCAAAATATAGTGTTCACAGAAGGATATTTCATATTTCCCTCAATTATGATTTTTATGAAAAATTCTTTTTTAAGAAAAAGAGAATTTTATGCAAAAAAACAAATGGGCCCACACATGCTTATGATTAGTACCTGTGGGGACCGTCTTAGAGAGATAAGAGAAAATAAAGCTCACCTTGTTGACTTGACTCCAAGTCCTCCTGTCAGGTCTCACGTTTGCATAAAATATCATTTATATTCCTAATATGTCTATATAAAAATTAATTATGAAAAAGTTGTTCTTGGATAATACTGTCCGGTCTTAAATATAATATTTTTTTTAGTGTAATATATATTACTTTCAATTCTTAATATAAGATCTTGTTTGAATTTTATTTTGGTCCTAAATATAAGATCCTAATCTATTTTGTCTCTCATATTTATACATTTTTTTCAAAGTAGTCTTTCTAACAATGATAGTTCTAGTCAATACACTTGATTAGTAAGGATATTTTAGGAAAGACAACACCTATTTAGGACAAATAACTAACTCAATTTATTTTTTTAATCTCCTCAAATTAGTTAATTGGTTCTTATAATTAGGACCGGAGGTAGTATATTACACTACAAAAAAAGATATTATATATCTGAAGAATAATTATAAAAATTTTTTTTGCCTGAATTAAAAAAATTGTTTTGCTGATTGCTGAATGCTTACAAACCGGACCCAAATTTGTTTTACCACACTCTTTGGCAAGAAAAAACCGTACATCTCTTGTGTTATTGTCATAAAACTTTATAAATTTGCAAAATTGCATGGGAGTTCCGTTAGAAAGAAGAAAACCAGGGGCATTGCTGGTAATGTATCCCACATTTCCGGGAGAAGCCACCCCACTAACCCGCCGACTCAGCCTCTCCCACCGATTGCCTTTTTTCTTTCCCTCTTTTTTCTATCTATTCCTTGTTGCCTGATTCCTTCCATCGATCTCCATCATCTAATTCCAATTTCTTGCCTATTGTGCTTTCATAGCGATGCGAGGCCATGATCGGATTAACACCTGCCTTCCTGACGAGCTCATCGTTGAGATCTTCCGCCGTCTTGATTCCAAGTCCTCTCGCGATGCCTGTTCCCTCGCCTGCAAGCGCTGGAATCGCCTCGAGCGCCTCAGCCGAGCAACTATCCGGATCGGAGCTACCGGTTCCCCTGACTTATTCGTCAACCTTCTGGCAAGCCGTTTCTCCGACCTCAAAGAATATCCACATTGATGAGCGCTTGTCGATTCCGCTGCCTATTCAGCTCGTGAGTCACCTGATTCTGATATCAACTGTATTTTCATCTATGATTCTGGATTTGAATAGTTGGCTCTAGCTTATTACAAATGCAATGTCACTTTTGATTCGATGTAATTACATGGATCCGGAGTTCTCGAAATTTGATTGGTCGAAATTATCTGTGAATTTGTTTGATTTCTTTCCAATGGTTTGAGTAGGGGAAGACGGGCAACCGATAACTCTAAGGTTTCATCGCTTAAGCTGCGTTGTGTGACTGAAAAAGTTGGAACTGAGGATAGCGATTTTGATTCAATATGTTTATCGGATGCGGGATTGGCCGCTCTTGGTAAAGGCTTTCCGAAGCTAGAGAAGCTGAGCTTAATCTGGTGTTCTAACGTCTCCAGCGAGGGATTAATATCCCTAGCTCAGAAGTGTAGTTGCCTGAAAGCGTTGGATTTGCAGGTATTTTTCTGAGTTTATTGGACCTGCGACTCTATAGATTGGCTAATATGTTTGAGGGGCACATACCATATTTGTATTCAGTACACGTGGCATATATTTTGCTCCTTCCCATGATCTCTATTGAAGTTAAACTGCCCCCGAGACTGAGTATATGTCTGCCCTAGCTTTGATGCTAATGCTCATTTTCCCTGTCGATGCATTGTTCTCCTTATCACTCTCTCAACATTTAATTATTCACACGTTTAATGCTCTAGGTAATGTATATTTTTAAGTAGAATTATAACCATGGAGTTTCCTCTAGGGTTGTTATGTTGGAGATCAAGGTTTGGCTGCTGTTGGGCGGTGTTGCAAGCGTTTGTTGCAAGCACTTGAACTGAATCTGCGGTTCTGTGAAGGTTTGACTGACAAGGGTTTGGTTGAGTTAGCCTTGGGCGTGAAAAATTCCTTAAAATCTCTGTGTTGTGGCAGCTTGTGCCAAAATAACTGACATCTCAATGGAAGCAGTAGGAACATACTGCAGATCCCTTGAGACATTATCATTGGACTCTGAATATATCAACAATAAAGGGGTGCTTGCTGTGGCTGAAGGGTGCCCCCATTTGAAAGTTCTAAAGCTGCAATGTATCAATGTCACAGATGCTTTGATGCTTTGAGCTGTAGGAACTCGTTTTGTTTGTCTTGGAGCTATTAGCTCTCTATAGTTTTCAAAAATTTACTGATAAGTAAGCTGCTTCCCACAATTCCTTCCTCTCGAATTCACTTCATAATGACCATAGTTAAAAGCACTCAAGACGTACATGTTTGGTCTAATTTCTTATCTAAGTAGTATGTTATTACCAGACACGATGGGTTGAGTCCATATTGCAATTTTGTAAACACTTCTATAGATATTTGACTCTTTGACCATTTCTTGGCTTGGCCAAATTTAAGAGGAGGAAGCTGCGCTCTAGCTTTCCTTGTTTGTATGACCTTTTCTGTTTATATGACCATCGAGGAATTATGACCTGCTATTTTCTAGTGGCACATATCGTCATATGCCATTCTCACATGTGTCTGAAAATTGACTATGCGCTCTCTTAACTTTTTTGAGATGGGTCAGTACTTGGTAATGCTTTTACTTTTTGTATTGTCTTGCATTCAGGGGGTTGCGTGCAATTGGTAGCGGCTGTAAGAAGTTGAAGAACTTAACTTAAGTGATTGTTATTTCCTTAGTGATAAGGGTTTGGAAGCAATTGCCACTGGTTGCGAGGCACTTACTCATCTTGAAGTCAACGGGTGCCACAACATTGGAACTATGGGGGTAGAATCAATCGGAAAATCCTGCCAGTATGTCTCCTTTAAGCTGTTTTAACTTTTATGTGTGAAAATATACGGATGCATTGAACTGGAAGTCTTGTGTATGCAACAAAATCAGCTAACGAGGTTGGAACCAAGAAATTAAATTTTTTTGGTGCCGACTAATTTTTCATGTGGATGGTTGCCATAAGATCATTTGAATGCTTTTTTAATCATTGAAATAGAGATGTTCGGTGAGGTTGTGATGTTTATTTTGGTTGGGGAATGGTCTGTTATTAGTTGGATGCGGCAAGCATTTACTGGTGGTCTTGCTGAGTGACTAAGTTGACAAAGATGGAAGTTGTTATCTACATTTTTATGTCCGTTGTTTATCATCAGTGTCCCATTAAAGTTTGTGACGAAAAAATATATTCAGTCACTGTATAAAAACAATCTTTTACAGACATTGTGAGAAAATATCAGTTGATGATTTGCTGTCAAGTGATGTGATGCCATAGATGCCAATCTCTGTTCATGGTATTGACATTATGCTTGTTCTCACAAGTTCTAATGCTGCTGGGTTATTTCTATTGATCTTTCATACATGATGTTAATTTCAGCTCTGTGTATGTACAGTAATCTCACTGAGTTGGCATTGCTTTACTGCCAAAGGATTGGTAATGATGCCCTGCTTGAGGTTGGGCGGGGTTGCAAATTCTTGCAAGCTCTTCACTTGGTAGATTGCTCAAGCATTGGAGATGCAGCCATGTGTGGTATAGCTAGTGGTTGCAGGAATTTGAAGAAACTACATATTCGTCGATGTTTGAGGTTGCAGAAAGGAAGAGAGGAACTTTTGAGGTAATATTGATTCTCAACCGTTGATTTAATTGTGTTTGATTACCTTACTTGCCCTTTCATAGGATTTTGAGTCAATGTTTGAATGGTTGCTCTGAAGATGGTTGTTGACTCGTTGATGGTTCTATTGTTTATAGCCTAAACAGGATTGAGAGATGTTTTCATGACAAAATATTGACTGTCCAGGTGTAATTTGAAGTGCTATGTGTTTGTTTAGTCCATGACTAGCATATGTTGAGCATTGACATGGCCTGTTGTGTTTGTAGATTCTAAGCAATTTATTGTGTCTATAGGTTATAGGACTTCTGCAGCTTGTGAAAAGTTGGCCCTAGTTCCCTCTTTCCTGTTATAAGGATTCTATGAAGTGCTCAAGTTATAGTGTTTGGTGACTTCCTCTATTGCTTTCTCTTCCCTATTAAGGCGAATAGGCAACACACGGTGTGCCTCACGTTTTTTTTGGCCTCTGACCTAATTAGTGTCTTGTTTATTCCTTTTTTTGTGT